GCTTTGCCTGGTATTCCCCACAGCTCCAGTCTTTGTGACCAACTAGCCCCCAGCTCACCCCTCCCCCACCAAGGCAGGGCCTGTGCCCTCCTTTGCATCCGGCATGTTCTTCTCATTACATGTTGCGTTGTTATTCTTCATCCTTTTGCATTATAACCATTTGCACTCTGTCCCTTTCCTCCACTAGATGAGACTCTTGAGAGCAGGCATAGTTTGTACCAGAGACAATGCCTAGCACATAGTCGGTCAGAGAATACACACTGGTTAAAATGAAAATTAAAACAAGCTAAGACACTTACTACTCTATGGGGTTTAGTTCATGGCAGACCTTTGAATCCTTCCACCAGCAAAGGAACTAAAGAAAAAAAAAAATCTGTGGAATCATTGGCCACTTGTCCTGCTGTCACTACAGTGGAGTGCCTTAAGTAAGTTAGAAGGCATTTCTCACAGGCAGCCTGATCTGATTTATTCCTCAATAAAGATGAGAAGTCCAAACTTCCAAGGGACAAAAAATGTGATGCCAACCCACACTTGTAGTAATAGCATTTGCTCTCTGTGGTCTATGCACTTATTGTATTTTTTTCTCTCATAGCATTCAAAATGGTCTTAAATTATCTTTGATCTCTTCTTTCAGTGGATAGCCTATGAAAGGAAAAAAAACCAATGAGGGGAAATAAAAAATTTAATATGTAAATAAAAATAGTTGTCTAGCAAAGAAATAGAAGCAAAGAGATTTAATTTTGAAACTCAACTGATTATCCTAAATTCAATAGATGTTATTGCCGAACCCTTAATTTTAAAAGACCCGCCATCTAATAACATTTAATGTTAAGATATCTTTTAATTGTTCAGAGGGAATAAAACACTACTGGTAATTACCGCTAGATATTTTATGAATGTGGTTGGATTGCTTACAGAATTTAATTAAGCTTTGGATCCCCCTTCTGTCCTAATGAGTTGGAGCTTTTTCAAACATATCTCAGGTAATCTCTAAAAACCAAAGTAGAGGAAAGGCTCCAGAGACATTTGTTTTATTGCTCCTGAAAGATTTAGCTGCACTTTTATCATATTTATTTGTTACATTTAATTTGAACGTGAGACATTCGAGAAAAATACCATTCAAATAATTTCCAAAAGGCCTGTGCTGCTAACTTAGGATCTTTGCTACAGGTGAATGGACAAATACAACTGGGTACAGATGAGTATTTTTTTTTTAAGAAGGAAATTAAGGTACTGTAATAGGCAGAATAATGCCCCCCAGAGATAGCCACATCCTAATCATCAGAAACTATCAATGTTTTGTTACATATCAAAGTATAGAATTAAGCTTTAGAAGAAATTAAGATTGCTAATTAGCTGACCTTAATATAAACTCATCGTGTTTAACCATCCTGTGGGCCCAGTGTATTCAGTAAAGGTTCTTAAACGTGGAAGATGAGCTGCAGAAGAGGTCAAGGGTTACAGAGAGATTTGATGGTGCTAAGCTCCTGACTTTGAAAATGGAGGAAGGGGCCACCAGTCAGGAAACGCAGGCGGCCTCTAGAAGCTAGAGTAGGCGAGGAAATGGATTTTTGCCGAGAGCCTCCAAAGAGGAACACAATCCTGCCCACACCTAGATTTCAGGCCCCTGAGACTTTCAACCTACTGGACTGTAATAAATTGGTATTTGTGGTAATTTGTTACAGCCACAATAGAAAACAAATACACATGCATTTATACAATGTAAGACTACACAGCCATTAAAACTAATACTTAAGAAGACTACCTAACGATGTGGAAAATATCAATGGTATACTGTTAGGTTAGAAAAGCAGATGAGGAAGCACCTCTCACTGTCTCTGTGCTCCTGGCAAGTTGCTTCATTTCTTGAACCGCCTTTGTAAAATGGGCAATGACTACCCAGATCACCTGGGGTTACTGTGAGAAGTAAGGGAAACAAAATGTCTTTCCTTGTGTAAGTAGTCAGTAAATAGTGGTTATCCTTATATCTGAATGGCCTTTTTACTGAGTGTTGACTTGAACGATATAATTTAAGAGAATTCAGTAACTGCTTGTGTTTGTATTCTCTGTGGTTATTGCAAGGTATGCGTTCTTATTAAGGGTGATAAAGTGATACATATGTGACAAGAAACTGCTGTTGTACTGAAAGCTTACTGGCAGAAGTGGCAGAAACTTGTACTTGATCTGTGTTTATGATAATTTTCTATCACCTCATTCGAATGACAATATGAACCCACAGCTAGTTTCTCCAAAATGCTTTATAAAGGGGTTGCAATCTCTGTCTTCTCCTGTGACAGAGTGTATGAAAGGACCAGAGTGCTTTCAGGTACAAGTCATAAAGGAAAAGGAAAACAAAATGGCATTTCATGTTGGCATCTGAGCTCTTCCAGGTAAATGATGCGAGACCCAGTACCCTCATTCATTTAGATACATGTACAAAAAGCAGAAGACATTGGCAAATGTAGTCCTTGGTGGATGGGCACAAAAGTTATAACTGAAGATGAAAAGTTAACAAAAACAATAGTACCTTTCTGGTACTTAGCTTCTCTATGCCATTTGTTTCATTATCACTACTAAGGATTATTTATGTATATGCTGAACTCAAACCTGAGTGTTACTCTGTGAAGTAACAACTCTTTCAAAGCCCCAAATAGTATTACCACAAAACCCCAAGCATAAGACAGACACTTAAAACAGGTACGTATATGTTTCTCCCAAGTTAAATCTGGAATGAGTAAGACAGCCAGATTATTCATGTAAAAATGAGGAAGAAAAGATAATTCTTAAATCATATTTAAATAACAAATGAAATATTCTTGGGTTTGCTAATTTGTTTTACCCCTTCTTGGAATAAATTATTTATTAGACTGAATGTTGAGACTAGGGCACTTTAGGATATTCTTGAGATACAAATTTGTCAATTTTGTGTTAAATTTCAGTATGAAATATTTCCTGTTTTGAAAGCAAATGCTAAAATACTATATCATTCAGAATGTTTATAAAGTTTCGCAATCACTGTTTTAACACAGAAATCTGTTTATTAAACCCAACAAAACAGAGAAAATTATACCAGCCCTCAATTTTTGAATTTTCATTTAAATAAGCAAACTCTAAATCCACACCTTAAAAGATGTTTGTGCATCTATGTATTTCCAAAATACTCATATTTCAATAAGATTTTCACATTATAGTCACCAACAGTATCACAAAAGGGTTTTTTTTTGTTTGTTTTTGTTTTTTGTTTACGTAACTGTAAGGAACAGTAATTCTAGAAACACTAGAAGAAAAAAGCATAGCAATGTCCACAGTTACAAGAAAAAGTGCACATTACTTGGTCACAATCACAGTCATTACTTGAAAAACTATATGTAACAAGTAGATAAGAAATATCACTGATGCCTTAACTCATTATCAAAAACTGAATGACATACATTTTACATGAAATAAGGCAAATTCAGGAATGCACAAAGAATCTGTAATCCAACCAAAGCTAAACAACAGAAAAAAATTGTACAAGAAGCATAAACTGATGGATTTCTCCCTAAATATTTTAAAAATAGGCTTGCCTCAGTGCACAAAGAAAACACCATTCGTGTGTACCCAACACAATGAAATAAGAAGGAAGGGCAACATGTGGGGAATCGGAGGGGACAGTTCATTGTAAATTGCAGCTGTAGCCACTGAGAGTTCTTGACATCATTTTTACCTGGAACTGTAAATCATACAAATCATATCAGAGAGGTAATGGTCTTTTTTGGAAACTATTTCTGAAATAGAGAAATGAAAAGAAAACTACACACAAGAGTGCAAATTTTCAGATTGTCACTTGCAATCTCTTTAACATTCAGTCATCTATATCCAGTTGCTGCTGTAAGGATGTCTGTAAGACAGCAGCGGCAATCTGGGGGGAAACTGGAAGAAACCACGGTGTGATGCTTTTTTTTTCCCAATGGTATGTCTTTTTAATATTAAAAAATTCTGTGATGCATATCTCTATGGTAAAGCTGCAGGGTTGCGTGAGATGCTTGAGCGCCGAAATGCAGGCTTCTCTTGGAAGTAGTTCCTGATATGAGGATTTAAAGAACATAGTCAAGATTTTTTTTTTTTCCAGCATCGTGTTATCTTTGTAGAAAGAATTTGGAAAGAGGAGAAGGCAAAGGGATGTGGAAAAGGTACTTACAGTAGTTTTCTCAAAACAGTTTTCTTTTAGGACCTATGGAAAAGTTACCAAAGTAAAAATGACAAGTTTGAATGAAAAACAAGTTTTCTTTTTATAAAAATTACATATATATATATATTTTTTAAAATACAAGATCCTTTTCATGGTTATATCCTGTAGCAACAAGAAATTTTGGCTTTTTATTGATTTATTTTTTTGCCAGATACTGCAGCTTTCAGTCCAATAGATCAGTAGTAAATTCCACTAATATTTTGGTTGGATCTTGAACAAGTTTTTATACCACGAGCTTCTTCTCTTTCGTCCTTGAATTTGGAATATACAGCCTTTTTTTTTTTTTTTGCCCCAGATAGTTATGCTGACACACTAAAAACAAAAAGCAGTAGGCTGGACACAAAGTGTCTCAAGTACTTCAGAGGTCAGAGTTCCTGTGAAGCACCCTAATACATCACTTTAAGGATCAAGGACAATGTGGCATAATGGAAGTATTTCTCTTAAGACTCCAGTAAGACCACAAGCATCTCTGCTGGGAAATCAAAATGTCATTAGTGGAAACTGCAAATTTAGGCCTCAGCGACTAGGCCCGTCATTTGAGTCAGTTCTGTTGTAAAATAAGATTTTCCAGTTCATCTGCAGAACGCAATAAAAATGCAGCTGATTCTCGATATCCTGCCACGAGCTGTCTCACGGCATTGATTTCAGTCGGACTCAGCTGGGGTCTGGAGCTTGAACTGCTAGAGGATCCTGAGCCAGTTGCCAACTGCCTCTTCATGCTGAGATCCGTGGGTCCTAGAAAACATAACCACGAAATTAGACATGAGCAATTTTTGTTCTGATACGGTGAACATGAGCATAAATCATTGTTGACTTAATTCCCGAATTCTTTCGTGAGAAGCTGCTGATGCCTTTAATCAAATGCATCTCTCAGAAAGACGGAAGAGCAACATGGATGCAAAATGCGCAGCTGGGTGTCCTCTAAGACTCCTTGTCTAGCCTCTGGTAATGACTTCTCATGGTGGAAAGTCAGTCAAGACCTCTTAACATGTGATTTTTGGAAAATTCAATTTTAAGTCTACTTTCCACACGTAGAAGTTTCTCTGTAGCAGTTGTAAAATAATGGAAATTACAAATGCTTTCTATTGGCTATATTTGTTAACAAGTAATTTAGATCCCACCAATTCAGAAGCGGGGAAACATCCTAGATTGTGATGCTAATAACACTGGGTTACAAACTCCTCTATTTAAAACAAAGGAAACAGAGAGCTGAGAGACTTCAATAACATATTTAGAGTTCACCTTTTAAATGGCACAGTGAGGATGTGAATTGGATCATTTTTCATTTCAGGCCAATGCTTTTTTTCCACCAGGTTGACTAGTATTTAAAAATGTGCACATACTAGAATGAAGTTGGCTTTAGAAGTGTGCAATAAGTAAAGGATTAGTGCAAACAATGCTACAAAGAAACCAGACTTGGAATACTGCTTTAAGTATTATTAACGTTCCTTCTGTGTTTATTTACACAAAATACTTACATATACTTAAACCAAATCACAGACGTCTGTTTTTTGGACAACATTTTGTAAATTTTTACTTAAAAATAACTTATACTTTGTCATTTTTATGTATATATGTACCACATCTTCTTTATCAAATCATCTGTTGAAGGACACTTAGGTTGTTTCCATATCTTGGCTATTGTGAATAATGCTGCAATGAACATAGGGGTACATCTATCTTTACAAATAAGTGTTCTCAAAATTTCTAGGTACATACACAGAAGAGGGATTGCTGGGTCATATAGTAGCTCTATTCTTAATTTTTTGAGGCGCCTCCATACTGTTTTTCATTGTGGCTGCACCAATTTACATTCCCACCAGCAGTGTGTGAGGGTTCCCTTTTCTCCACATCCTCTCCAACACTTTGTATTTCTTGTTTTATTGATAGTAGCCATTCTAACAGGCAGGAGGTGGTAGCTCATTGTGGTTTTGATTTGCATTTCCCTAACCGCTAGTGAGGTTGAGCATCTTTTCATATATCTGTTGGCCACCTGTATATTTCCTTGGGAAAGCTGTTCAGGTGATCTGTCCATTTTTTTAATTGGATTTTTTTTGTTTTATTGTTGAACCGTATGAGTTCTTCATATATTTTGGCTATTAGCCCCTTATCAGAGGTATCATTTGCAAATGTCTTCTCCCATTTGGTTGGTTCCCTTTTTGTTTTGTTGATGGTTTCTTTTTTGTTTTGCTGAAGCTTTTTATTTTATGTAGTCTCATTTATTTATTTTTGCTTTTACTTCCCTTGTATTTGGGGTTAAGTTCACAAAAACCCCTCTGAGACCAAGGTCCATAAATTTAGTGCCTGTGTTTTCTTCTGTGTATTTTATTGTTTCAGGTTTTATATTTAAATCTTTCCTCCATTTTGCATTAATTTTGGTATATAATGTTAGATAGCAGTCTAGTTACATTCCTTTGCTTGTGGCTTTTCAATTTTCCCAACACCATTTATTGAAGAGGCTTTCCTTTCTCTACCGTATGTTTTTGGGCTACTTTTTCTAAAATTAGTTGCCCTTTTTTGTGTGAGTTTATCTCTGGGCTCTCAATTCTATTCCATTGGTCTGTAAATGATGAAATATTGCCATTTGAGACAACATGGATGGCTCCTGAGAGTATTATGCTAAATGGAATGTCAAATGGAAAAGGACAAGAACCATATGATTTCAATTATATGTGGAATATAAAACAAAGCACCAAATGAACAAACTCATAGACACAGACAACAATAAGGTGGTTACCAGAGGGGAAGGGGGTTGGGGAGGATGAAGAAGGTAAAGTGGGTCAAATATTTGGTGACAGAAGGAGATTGGGTAGTGAATAACCAACGTAATATACAGATGTTGTATTATAGAATTTTATACCTGAAACTTATATAATGTTATTAACTGTTGCTCCAATAAATTAGATAAACTTATAAAGTTATTTAAAATCTTTAATTCAGACATTTGTGTTAAGATGCTTTGCAGCAATTATTGTTGGATTATTAATACGATTTTATTACATACCTAAGTGTTCATTGTTATAGTTCTTACCTTTCCTTAAGCAATTGCTATAATTAATTTGCAGTGAGTAATAAATGTAAAATCCTTGAATAAACATTACTAAGCACATAACTAAAGGTATGCTCAAAAACTATAGTTATTCTATAACGTGAAAATATTTTAACAGATTTTTTTCTAAACATACAGCTTCTCAGTTCATGTCATGTACTAAACAAGGGATGTTATTTTATCCTTCTGGTTCTCCTTGAGGCATGGAGACAGGTCAAGATGCAACCCCCTCCACCTCTACTCTAAAGGGAGACGTCTTCTGTCAGCCAGGAGGCAGTTGTCCCATGAGAGAGAAATAGCTTCGCTTGGAATTTAATTAGGACAGAGACAAGGCTAGCATGCAAGAACTCTGACATCTGAGAGAAACTTATATTCACTTCTGCCATGACCTTTCAAAGCTTTGATTTTCTAGCAGGAGTTAGCTTCCATTTGTTCATGTTCTAAAATCATGATACTGACATAACAAACTGGAAGGAAGAGATGTAGGGAGGCCACACTTGCAAACAGAAATTACTGAACAAGTATTCAGCAACCAGTTTATGTGGAAAGTTTTGAGTGGATTTAAAAAGCATCATGACATAACAGGGCTTCTGGTCGGTCTCTGGATGAACTACTTTAAATATTTTTTTCTTTACATTCAAGAATCCCGGTACTAGTGCAGATCTTTATGAAGGAAAGTTGAAAGAAATTTCCTCTCAGCTGTATAAATCTTTGGTGTCTGATTATCATTTCATTAGAAGGCATAACATTTTGTGATAGTTTTGCTGCCGAGCTAAGCTGCTAATTGTCATCCTTAACTGTAATTGAGAAAGTGTGGGATTAGGGCTCCAGTTCTTTTTGAGGTGAGAGAGATTGCAATTTTATTGGAATAGAGTTGCCCCTTGGTATCCATGGGGGATTGGTTCCAGGATCCTCCCAGGATACCCAAATCTGTGGATGTTCAAGTCCCTAATATAAAATGGGGTAGTATTTGCATATAACCTATACATTCTACATAGTTTAAATCATCTCTAAATTAGTTAATACCTAATACAATGTAAATGCTATGTGCAAATAGTTGTATTGTTTAGGGAATAATGACAAGAATGCAACCATTGTAGCCCAAACTACAGAGTACATGTCAGCAACAACGTTAACTGTTTTGCTTTCAAATATTTTCCATCTGGGTTAGTTGACTCCGTGGATGTGGAACCGTGGAAATGGAGGGCCAACTTTATTGCAGTTTATGGATTACTCTCCATCATCTCTGGCTCAAGGGTATAAGTTTCCAAACTAAGATTATGGCTTCCACTTTCTTACAGATCATTCTTAACATAGACAACTCTATAGATAGTTTAGTAAGTTAGAAGCCATTCACACCTCTGTTACTTTGTTTTCTGGAAGAAAAGTTGACTTTGTTATCTTGCTTTCTTTTAGATCTACCTGATTAGGATTGAGTATATAAATCAAAACTACAAGGAATTATTCTGGATGAGTGTTTATTATTCCAGGCTTCCAAGATATGAGGTTGGGCAAGGAAGCCAAAAATATATTAAACAAAAAATATTCACAAATGGACAAATTCTTTAAGATGCCTCTCAGCACCTAGCCCCTCACTAGAGACTCACACTGTCTCCCTTTGAGCCTCTCAGCAGTTCAGTGGGGATAATAGAGTAGGATCACCAAACCCATTTTAAAGTTGGGGAGACAGTTCCAGATAGGTTCACTGGCTTGCCCAAAGCCATAATGAGTTCCTCAACCTTCCTCCTGCACCACTGTGGCACAGGCTCAGAGGAGATTTGAGTAGTTGGATAGAGGAGGATGAATGCCCTGACAGGAAGAGCAAGGAAAGGTGTGGTGCATGGGACACTGAGGGGTGCTGGCTAGAGCCAAGTGGGGATCAGGGTTTAATATAAGATCCTACTGAGGTGGTGTCTGTTGGTGCCTTCATGGCTCCGGCCTTAATTTGATCATGGTTATTACTCACCCGAATAATTCTTCCAGTTGGCTAGTGGTGATATCCTCCGACTCCTGGCATCTTTTATAAATGAACATCAGTCCATGAATGATGAAAAAGCAATACCAGAAACAATGACTAATTATTTGCAAAGTCTACTTCAACATCCTTCTTGCATTATCCTTTGAAACCAGGTCTTCTGATTGTCAGCTTGGGTACCTGAGATCATGATGAGTCTCATCTGGTATTGGGTAATTCTGGCCATATAAAATAAATCTGGAAGTGTTCCTTCCTCCTCTATTTTTTTTGGAAGAGTTTGATAGAAAACACTGATGAAGACATCTGGTCCTGGGCTTTTGTTGGGAGGTTTCTGATTACTGCAATTCCATGTCCTTGCTAATCTGTCTGTTCAGATTTTCTATTTCTTCATGATTCAGTCTTGGTAGATTTTATGTTTCCAGGAATTTATGCATTTCTTCTACGTTGTCCAATTTATGATCCTATATATTTCAATGGTATCAATTGTAATTAGGCCTGTTTTCATTTTTGAGTTTTTGAGTCCTCTCCTTCTTGGTGAGTCTACCTAAAGGATTACAAATTTTATCTTTTCAAGTCTAGGTTTATTGATCTTTTTGATTGTTTTCTTAGTCTAATTCATTTATTTCTGCTCTGATCTTTATATTCTTTTTACTAACTTTGGGCTTTGTTTGTTCCTTTTCTATCCCTGATGTACAAAGTTGAGATTTTTCT